ATCTTTGGTTTTGGTAGAATATTCTTTCTCCCTTTCTGAAGTCTTTTTGCAGCATGTCCTTTCAGATTAATTGTTTTTGTTTTTGGATCTATGTCAATTAATTCCCGTTCTTCGATATTCAATCTTTCTTCTCTTGAAAATTTTTGAAAGGCTGGTTTATAGTTTTCTAATGATATGCATATAAATAATACAATTTCTGGATCCTCTAATCCCAGAAAGTTTGCTACGCTTCTGTTGTTTGCAGAACGAATCTTTTCTGTATATTGCATATTTCTTGCCTTGCCTCTTCTGGTAATGTGAAGACATCCTTAATTTTCTTTAAGGTTGTCATTTTAGTATCTATGAAGTTTAAGTTTAATTCTTCTTTATGACTAAGCTAAATCTTGAATTTGTCACTATAGAATCTATATTAACTAGAATAAATTCTTTTAGAATAATCTACTCAGATTTGTTGATATTAGTCACATATGTTATTCCTGTTTACTTTGTTGTTATTCCTCATTACGTGAATTATTTGTTTGTTTGTTTCTTTTATTGTGTCTAAAAATAGTAATGCGATCTACTATTTGTTTACTTGTATATTTGATCTTACGTGTTTGTTTTATTATTGTTGTTTACGCGTCTTTAAAATCAGATTTTCAGGGTCTAGCCAATTTTTCAAAATTTTCAAAAATTTCAAAAAATTTTCGAAAGTTCAAATTTTGTCGCTAGCCTTGGAGTAGAGGTTGGAACCGGTTTTAATAATTCGAGTTTATCACGTGAATTTTGTGATATTTTAGAATTTAATCCAATTAAATTTTAATAAATTCTAAAATATCACAAAATTTACGTGATAAACCCGAATTATTAAAACCGGTTCCAATCTCTACCTTGGAGTTTTTGTAAGAGACTATTTTAATAAACTAAAGTTAGTTTTAAGTATTTTTCCTTTTTTCTTAGTACAAGAAGCCTTGTTTTTTATACTAGTTTCTTGGAAAAGTACTAGTTTAGTTTTAGTCGATTAAAATTTTAATGTAATTTGTAGATTAGCAGAAAGAGTTTGACAAAAAAAATGACTAGGCTTAATTATTAAGTAAAATTTGTTTAGCATAAAAAAATACACATATTTTGAAATTTTGAAATTTTTTAAAAAAATATTCATAAAATTATTAAAAATAATAAAAATTACTGTTTTTAGCAATTTGTTAATTTTAAATTGAATAATTTAACTTTTATATTTAGTAATAATATTTAGATTAAAATTTTTTAAAAGTTCTTAAAAATTTAGAATTATATGTAATTTATTATACTAAACAAATTTTATATAATAATTAAATTTAATTTATTTAATAAAAAATTAAGTTATTTTATGAAAAACTTAATCTAACTATATTTGTACAATTACTAATTTCATACAAGTGTAATATTACACAATTTTGTGTAATATTAACAATTTCAACAACTATTGCATAGAATTTTATAAATTTTTTTTTATTTAAAAACCTTAGATTTAAGCAATGTTTTATATAATTTTGAACTTAATATCTTGCTTATTTGGCTTAATATAAATTTTTTAAAAGTGTCCACAATAATATGCTACTTTCTGTAGAATGTGATTTCCTAATTTGGTATATTCCCTGACTGTAATTATATTTGATTGTATATTCTATATAGCATATTTAAATGCCTTATCAAGTTTATTGCTTCGATCTTCAGATATCACCAAGTTTTCTAATTGTTGGTCATCTTTTAATTTATTGACCTTAACTTTTCCAAGTCATATAATTGTTTTTATTATTATTAAACTAGGTGTTAATATTGTAGTTCTATTTTCATTTGATATTGTAGTTCTATATTCATTTGCTAGATAATATATCTTACCAAGTACTATCATCATTCTTGCTAAAGTATCATATTTTAATTTTTCATTATCTGATTCTGAATCATAGTTAACCATTATCTAAATAAAATAAGAGCTTGTTAACTATCATCAATATACTGTCTATAACAGATATAACTTTAAAACTATTTTTTTGTTTTTGAAACAAATAACTTTCTTCATTTTGAAAACACCTTGAACAGATAAATCTTGTTGATATATTAATTAATTGTTCAGTTATTTGTTTATTGCTTACAAATACTAAATATATTTTGTACTCAATACAGGGAATCTATATATTATAACTATTAATATTGACTCAATATTCTTAACAATTTGCTCTTTAGCTAAAAAAATAACAATTCTTATTACAAAATAAATATTGTCATATCAAATATAACTATTTTTAATTGACTTTGCCTGTTTTGCTGCTTTAGTATATAACCGATTTTGATCAAAAAAAATATGATATATATATATTAAGAGTATATACTATACTATTAGAATTATTTTTATCAATGACTGATTCATCTATCTTCTAATAAGCTGATGAAAGGGTCGAAGTATATGTGCATAATTTTCATAATTAGAATAACATTTCACTTTCTATCATAAATACAGTCTTGGATATTACCAAATTTGAATATTACAGATTATTTCTTTTTTTGTATGATTAGAAAATTTTTGAGACTTCTATTTAAGTCTATAACTAGTCTATAAAAATCTTTGAAACTAAATTTATATATACCAATTACTATTATTTGATAAACAACTACTTTTTAAAGCTATTAGAATCATAGCAGATTTTTAGACTACATAGTCATAGAACAATTTATATTAAAAGTTTATTATTAAATATTTTTTTAAAAAAAACAAAATTATTATATAAATTAGTTCTAGAATAGTCTTTTACTAATAGTACTGTGGATTAATTTCGATATTTGATAATATTCAGGACTGAAATATCTAAAACAGCATATAAAACCAACTTTTTATATAATGTGTTATCAATTTCATAATCTATTTCTTGCATATTAAAATTACTACTACTTTCTAACCTTACAAATAAAGAATCAATATCAGTAATATTCATATTATTTATAGTAACTTCATTATCAATATTATTATATATACTTTTACAAGTTTTTTGAAATATAATACTATCAGTTACTAAGCTAAAATCATTATCAAGACCAACATATACATTATTAGAATCATTTTATTCAATATCTGTATTATAGAGATCTATAATCACAAAAGAATTATTGTTTGTATACACTATGCTTTGAAAATAAAATAATATTAATAAATATAATATAAATACTTGAATTATATAAGTCATTCTTATTAAACTAAAATCTATTTTTATTAAACTTTTTTTTTTAAAAAAAAGTTTAAAAAATTATATTATATTAAAAAAATTTCTTGATAGTATATCAAAGTACAAGAATTGAAATAATAATTAAAGTAATCTTATCGTTAAATATATACATATCCTGTATAATAATTTTGACTTGTATATATATATGTATGTATTATTTAACAACTAAAAAAATTAGAATTTTGCTAAAGATTATTACAGATGATCATCACTGCTCTATTATAGATTTATTTAAAGAACTGATATTTAGAGTTAGGTTTAAAATAAAAAAAATAAAATTATATATGAAATTTTGTTCAGAAAATTTTTAATTAATGTACAAAGATTCATTGCCATAGTAAAATAACTTGTTATCAATGTTTTTTAACTTTTTTCTTAGTTTCACTATTGTTTTGGTTATACTAAATTCTACGATTTGATTGGTTGAACATATGAGTAGTAATGATCATCTGTAGTAAAGTTTAGCAATACTCAAAAAATTAAATTATATTTAATTTTATTTTAATAAAATAAATTTATTAACGCTTGTTAAACCTTGAAAACTTAATTTTTATTTAATTTACCAAATAGAAAACTTTGAATCTAACAAAATTGTTGTATTTAATATCAATGTTAAAAAAATAAAGAATAGTGAATATTAGATAAAATTTATTATCATTATCTAAAATCTAAAACAATTAATCTGAAAGGACATGCTGCAAAAAGACTTCAGAAAGGGAGAAAGAATATTCTACCAAAACCAAAGAT